AGGCTTTTTATTGAAAAGATCAACTACAAATGTGACGCGTGTAATAAAATAAAAATGTAAATTCACTTAAATTACAGACTAGTTTGTAAAAGGATCAAGTCCATTTATGAGCCGTTGGAAGTGAATTGGGAAATTCCTGATTGTATCTCAACAAACTGAAGAATGAATTTAGTTCAATCAATGTGTTTTCTCCTTTTTAGCCACCATGCCGGGACTCTGCGAATGCATGAAATTGATGGGGGATATCTTTGACAAATACGCTGGAAAAGACGGAAAGCCCCAAATGTCAAAGGCAGAACTTGCTGAACTGCTCCGTAGTGAGTTCCCTGAGGCAGTAAGTAAAAAAGATGGACTCCTATTGCAACACAGAGCTGAGAATGCCTCTTTGCTCTAATGTTTTACAATTTTCTTACAACCCCTGACATTCTTTCTGCAGGGCAACAACAAAGCTGTAGTGGACAGTTTCTTCTCCATGCTGGATGACGACGGTGATGGCGTTGTTGACTTCAAGGAGTTTATGGCTCTTGTGACAGCCCTCACTGTGATGACCAAAAAATAATCACCATGGCCACATTTCCCCAGAAGTGTTCCGACTTGAACCGGCAACACAGTCACATTTATAAAACACACATCATCATATGTTCTGAGAAGGAAAAGTTGGTCAAACACTCATTATATATAGATTCTGTAGTTTATTATGGAGAGTCGATTTGAATGTGTTGTGTATATCACTGATGAATGACACCAGTGACCAAAAAATTCATGAAATAAATGATGTAACACTTTTGTTCCGTGTGTGTGTGTTGTTCTGTCTGTCAATACAACATATGAACTTAAGTGACAGTTCATTATTTAAGGAGCCATTGTTACCTATTATTTGTCACTGTTATTTCACTGTTTGTAGATAAACAGATTAGGAAACAACCCTGAGAGAAAAGCAAACAGCTTTTTGTCTGCATGTGATCCTTAAGTTTAAAAATACACAGGCTTTCATGAGGTATGTCTAAAATCATTCATGTTTTCATTCTCATTCATATTTTGGTTATTAATGGTGAACCTAATGTAAATTTATACAAGTATAAACTATAACATTATGTTTCACGAATCATCCACTACAGATGTCCTAATGTTCCTGTAGTCTTTTCTATGCTGCCCCCTTGTGTTATAATATAATAGTTTGCTGTCACAAAGCAGCAGCCATGGATACATTCCCCCCCTACACACACACACACCCACACACACACACACACACACACACACACACACACACACACACACACACGGGCTGACAGAGTAAATGATGCTCTAATGGTGATTAGCAAAACGCATGTCAAATTTGACATTTGCATCGTTTGCCCAAAAAGCAACTCCTACTTATCTACTCCTGTGTCGTATACCAACTGTATTTCCTTGAATAAATAAATAATAACTATTACATTGAAGTCCCTTCAATGCAACTTCTTATGACAGAAAAACAGGTGTGATCAACAACATAACAATGGTTGATTAAGTGTTAGGTTCTGTGGTTCTGTGCATGCTGGCTCACTGACACTGGATGGAACTGAGCTTTTGTTAACATTAGTTTCTGCACTTTTCCTGCTGTAACAAGTCAAAAGCATCTTCTGTAGAAAATGTCTTTCCATGATGTTTTCCAGCACGTTCATTCAGTGGCAGCTGATAAGAACACACTCATAGCTCCTATTTTAAAATAAGACAGGGTGGAATAACTGAGTGGAGAGTTTTGTAAAGATTTCACAGATGCTAACTTTACTCATCCTATAAAGCCTTAGTGGCTTTTTATTGAAAAGAAAAATTATATATATGATGTTCATTACCAAATGTGTTGTTTCATTCATCCGTGCCTCAGCACCTTTATTATTTTAGTTTCATGAAATAAAATGTAAATTCACTCAAATTACAGACTATGAAACTTTTCTCACAGAATGATTCAAATGGGTCATGTTTGAATTAGCATCATAAACAGTTGATGTTCCTCTGTCTTGCTGACTAAAAGGGGATTGTATAGACCACCAATACTTTCAACATGACATGACACGACATGCATCCATTTTCTGTTCATCCTTACATGCAAATATACTGAGCAGCTTACCAGCTCTGGTTTTACTGGTTTAAAAGAGGCGTACCTGAGAGAAAAAGCACAACAACCACAAAAGAGTAAATTCCATTGATGACATTTCGAAAGATAGACCCGGGGGGGATGTAAGGAAGAAAAAACTGCAACTAGAGAGAGAGGGAACGGTGGCAACTTGAATAGGGGGTTGTGTTGATAAAGCTATAAAAGGTTTGGGTCTGTGCTCATCTCTCACTCTCTTCCACTCTTTGGCTCTACACAAGCTATCATAGAACTTTGGTAAGTGGAAATATGTTTTAAAATCCTTCTTTCAATTGATTATTGTTCTTACTATTGAAGATAAACCTTTTTTGGATCTGGTCTTTCTCAATATTTGATTCCTTATGTGCAGCATTTTGTAGCATAAGACACATGATTGAGCTTCTGGGTGTGGTTTGTGTGTGGACTGTCGGGTCAATCTTCAGTATTTCAACCTGTGAATATTGATGGTTAATGTTATAGGGAAATTAGTAATTATTATTAGTAAGATGTTTCAGGCCACTGATGTTTCCGTATAGAGTAATTTAAAAGTTTAAAAGTTTTTTAAAGAACTAAAATCTTGAGAAAAATCTAAATAATAATTTAGTGTGGGCTGAAACCAGTTTGTAAAAGGATCAAGTCCATTTATGAAACACAGGAAGTTAATTGGGCAGAGACATTCCTGATTGTATCTCGATCTCGTATATCTTGATAAACTAAAGAATTAGTTTAGTTCAATCAATCTATTTAAATCAACAATATTTTCTCATTTTAGCCACCATGTCAGGAATCACCCAGGCAATTGCATTACTCACGGACACCTTTGAAAAATACGCTGGAAAAGACGGACAATCCAAGACTTTGACCAAGGCAGAACTTGCTGGACTGCTCCGTAATGAGTTTCCTGAGAAAGTAAGTACAAAAGATGGACTCCCATTGCAACACAGAGCTAAAATTGCCTCTTTGCTCGAATGTTTTACAATTTTCTTACAACCCCTGACTTTCTTTCTGTAGGGCAACAACGAGGCTGTAGTGGACAATTTCTTCTCCATGCTGGATAACGACAGTGATGGCGTTGTTGACTTCAAGGAGTTTGTCACTTTTGTGACAGCCCTCGCCGTGATGATCAAAAACTAAACACCATGGCCACATTTCCCCAGAACGGTCTTGCTAGTTTAGAATGTAAAAGCTCAGTGTTCCGACTCAAGCAACACAGTCACATTTATAAAACACACATCATCATATGTTCTCATTATGCTCATTACATATAGATTCTGTAGTTTATTATGTTGAGTCGACTTGAATGTGTTGTGTATATCACTGATGAATGACACCAGTGACCAAAAAATTCACCAATAAATGATGTCACACTTTAAAACTTGTTCCGTGTGTGTGTCTTTATGTCTGAGTGTGATCCTTCACTGGCTGACATGAGGTTAGTGTAAAATATGTCCTCAAAACTTAGTTATCAGCCTTTTATTGAATTATTGTTTCCTGTCATCGTGAGCAGTGTATCTGTATGGCACTTTTATAGTAAAGGGTCAGCAGCAGAAGTGGTTCAGGACCTGACTTGATGTGGAAAAATAAACATGTCCTGGTTCAATCAGTCAACTGTGAATCTGCGACACACAAACAACCAGTGTGACCTGGTGTAATAAACTGTGTTAGTACTGGTTGGACTCAGGAAATATATCTGTTTTGCCTGCCCTGTTTACTTTCTTTCTCTTTTCTTTTTCTCTTTTCTTTTTCTGATTCTGAGAAGGATTAAACCATTTGTTTGTAGGGGTGAGGCAGGTGGCCTCAGGAAGCCTCCACTATTTTTGGATACAAATTCCAGTCAATCAATCGAATTATTCAGCCAGTTTTTAAATTGGTATTAAGTACTTAGACTTTAAATTCATTATATTAACATGTTTATTCTTACATCATCCAGCCCCCCCTCCCCTTCTACTTTGCCCATACCTTTTATTTTAGTTCATTCATTTTTTTAACCGTGGATTTCGTGAAGCACTTTGTAACCTTGTTTAGATGAGTGCTCTACAAATACAGTGAAAAGCTTTTACACATGTAAACTTATGAACAAACAGTGTGACGTGTGGTTTCATTGAAAAGCTTTCAGTGAACAGTCTGGTGTTTGCCGTCAGGACCTCTCCTCTCCTCTCCTCTCCTCTCCTCTCCTCTCCTCTCCTCTCCTCTCCTCTCCTCTCCTCTCCTCTCCTCGCTCAGAGAGGCTCTGACACACATGGAACGCGTCCTGGGGCGGTCTGGCCCATCATCGGAATCATTCGGCTTCTTCCGGCGTATCTCGGCCGGGGAGCTAGCCGAGTCGATTAGCCTGCTACCACCAGCTAATGTTTGTGGGGTTTCTTTAATGGTAGCCGACCGGGGTGGATGATACAAACAGCGTAGAAACATGGCGGACGTCGAGGGACAAGAAACTTCTTCGTCGGTCCCTCCGTTGCCTCTCCCTTCCTCCCGGAACGGCTCCGATGGCGGTAACGTTACACCGGGAACCGGCGGCGGCAGTTGCCAGACGGCGACCATCGTTACCTCGGGCCCGCGGCTGGTCCGGATAGTGAAGTCTGACTCGGGCTATGGTTTCAATGTTCGGGGGCAAGTTAGTGAAGGGGGACAACTGCGGAGCATTAACGGGGAACTGTACGCTCCTCTGCAGCATGTCAGCGCCGTTCTACCGGGAGGAGCTGCGGACAGAGCCGGTATCTCGAAGGGAGACCGGATCCTCGAGGTGTAAGTGGCTGCTACTCTGCTAGCTTAACCCCAAATATAGCATAATGTGATGATGAGACTCGGTCACGTCGGTGTGATTGTCAGTCAAAACCATTGCGAGCACAGTGTGCATCATTTACTCTGTGTGTGTGTGTGTGTGTGTGTGTGTGTGTGTGTGTGTGTGTGTGTGTGTGTGTGTGTACGATCACACTGGTCCTCTCTCAGGGGGCAGAGCAGCCGTTCATCCTCATGAAAGAAGAGTCTGTGAGTGTAACAGGGAAAAAAGAGAGATCCAGGCGTCATTAAGGATTCCTGTCACACTGTCAACCTGCTCCTCTCACCCACAGCATGCCAAACAACCTCAAGTCATCCCTTGTGCACAGTCACATCATCCAGGCGTGTAGCCTCTCTAGATGACACACTGCATCCAGTGTAGCTTGCTTTACTTGCACGAATCAAAAGTCAAATCATTCATCATTAATTGTGGTCAATCAATCCCACAGGCAGAATAATGGGACTATCACTGATCACAGTGAATGCTGCTTTCTGGATGCTTGTCCTGTTTGGTGTCTTTAGTATGCATGGAGATGGTTTGATGATGTTGGGCTTTGTTGCTATGGAGAGCAACACACAGCAAACAGCTCAGGATCAGCACTGGCACTATAGTGTGTTTTGTGTGTGTGTGGAATAAGGTGATGCAGAGAGGGAGGGACACCGTCAGTCCGACTCTGATTGGCTTCACTCTCCAAAATCCACCGTCTCATTGGCTGGTGTTTGCACACTGCTCTGTTAATGGATGGTCTGCAGTAACCTGGCAGTTTGTTGACCCCATTCTTTCTGTGTGTGCTTGTGCGCGAGCGTGAGGACGTTTGTATTTGCATTAATTTGTATGTTGTATTCGAAGGGAAGCTTGTCAACCTCTTGATTTCACTCTTCTGCCATCCATTTTTGTGTCAGTATCATCCTAAGTTTAGTACAACAGCAAAAAGGGGCCATTTTAATACATTCAAACAAATGAAATATACCTGACAGAAAGAGCCAAATAACAAAATCTAATGTTGACGTACTACGTAATACCTTTAATCTAGCGATAAACTTACAATTGTAATTATAGAGAGGCTAACATAGACATGTCACTTACCTCTCCAATGGAGTACAGCATCCAAAAGATGAGAGGTGAAGCAGGAGACTCACTTTTTAATAGTTTCTTAAATTTCCGCACACCAGTTGATGCTTTCTTAAACTTCTTTATTTGACCTCCCTAGTAGGTAACGTTAAATATTAGTATACCATTAAATATTACCACTGTATATTAGACTGTTACACATACTATTACTTTATAATGGCATTATTACACATACAGTGAATCTGGCTAGATCTTGGTAAGCTGAAGATTTGACTTTGGTGTATGAAGCCCCCCTGCCTTCCTGTCAGGGACAGCATGTACACACACAGTAACTATGGACACACACAGTGGATTGCCTGCATACTATCTGCAGTGGTACACAGCCTCTTCTGTTCCCGATGCAATCAATACTTCTTTGCACATTTACAACCAACTCCTGCGTCTCAGCCTTTGATGCAGAATAATCTATAGAGTACTTTTGTTCAGCCTCCTTTTTCACTATGAAGAAATAATGTTAACGTGTAATGTTTGACACTCAGAAAAATTTGAAGTTTGTGTTGTGCACATCATTTTGACATGTTGAGCCTTTTTGAGTGTTTGAGCATCTTTTCTTGTGCGTTTGTAATAAGTGTGCTTGCTTGAAATTCAGAATAGAAAACACTTAACTCACAAGCAGTGAAATAATGACATAAAACATTAGGGAAGTAATTATTACATCGACTTAGAAAGACAGAAAAACTGACTGTGGGATGTATAGGGTAAATGTCTCTTTAAAGCTGTTTATTATGCTCGGTAGTGCTGAGGGTGCAAGTGTAAAGGCCACTACATCAAGTGCCAATAATATAGTCATAAAGCTGCTGGAATGAGAGAGCAGCCAAAACGCTTAGTCAGTGTTTTTTTGCTGTAAAAGACATTTGCTGTTTCTCCTACTAAACCTGCAAGATGGTTTTATTTGTGCTTCACGTGTTCCCCATTTGTCTTTGTATATTTCTATCTACGTCATCATCTTTCAGCCCTCCATGTAAGCCCCAGACTCAGAATTCCTCCTCTGGCTCGATTTTATATTCAAGCCGAGCTATTTCTCACCATTGTGTTTTTAGGTATTAGAAAGCTTGAGCTGTAGTCCTCCATCGCCCTGCCAACGTAAGCCATGCCATGACGTAATGGCTGACATAACAGATCAGTTGTCAGTCACTACCTCTGTCTGAAGCATTTTCTGTCCTGGATGTTTAGTCTCATGCTCCTGTGGACAGTTGGATATTTTTGCTCCATAGCATCTAGTCATTGTTCAGGTACCGGTGGGAAATTACCGCCATCAAGGAAGTTAGGTTTACATGCCTGTGTGTTGGTTGGTTTGTTTGTTTGTTTGTTTGTTTGTTTGTGAGCAAGATTACACAGAAGCTACTCAAACACACACATGCTTCCTCCAGTTCATTGTTTTGCCAGATGTGATGTAACTGCTTTCTGAATGATCAACACAGCCAGTGACACTAATTTTATTTTACCACCTCAACAGCCGTCATTAGGAGGAGATGGACTTGGCTTAGCTGTGACAATAAGATTGTTGGGCTGTTGGTATACAAAATGCGATTGCTCTGAGGATCATGTGATTGGGATCAGGACATTTACAAACCTTTGCATACCATTACAGCCCTATTAAGCTATTCGGGTATGCTATGGTAGTTTGTGTTATTAGACTTGAGAATTGAGTTTCATCTACGTATGTGAGAAGTTCAAAGTGTATTCCTTCTAAAAGAGGATCAGAGTATGTTGTATTCTAGTAATGAATAACCCCTCAGACACATCAGATAGAAGTTTGATCTCCTTTTGAAATCATGCTCATATTTTCAACGTATTTCTAACTATTCATGGCATAAGAATTGTTTTTTAAAGTGTCAGGAACAGTTTGAGGTGATGCTGGGTCATTTATTAAAGATGCTGTTTTGAGTCAAGTTAACTACAGGTCATGCTGGTACAGCACTGTCATCATGCGTCTGACACATGACTGCCAAAGGTCACACACCCTGTGTTGCTCATGTTCAGCTGTGATGATACCATAAACCAAAGGTCTTCCACTGGAGGGGGAAAATGTGAAGCCAGAGTGATTTGGAGGACAAGGCCTCTATCCCTCCGCTCAAGAAAACAGAAACCTTTCAAATGATAGCCTGTTTTGCTTTCTTTATTCATTTTGGTAAAATTCTTTGAAAATGTTTTACTACTGTTTTTGCATTGATGTTGAAGTATCACTGATATATTGATGAATTGAATATTATATGAAATTGTACCGTGGAGTATTGTGTATTTTTGAAGTAAATTGTATTATTATTTGTCTGCAACTGTAAAAGGTTTCAGTTTAACTTCCAATACAAACTCAGGTTTAAAATGTGCTATAGTGAAAAACAAATTTATATCCTTTTATCCTATGATTAACTAACTTTAGGGGGATTAAGTAAAATGTAATTCAGTGCATTAATAAAATACTCAGCACCCTAACATCTACGTCTCTGTCTGTTAAACAGTAATGG